AAAAAAAAAAAAAAAAAAAAAAAAGAAAAGAAAAAGAAAGAAAACCATGGTATTTACTGTATAGGGTTCAGTACTAACTGCAGTTTTAGGCAACTACTGGGGGTCTTAGAATGATACCCCCTGAGTGTAATGAGGGGACTACTACTATATCTTTAACTAATCATTTACTTTTCAGTCAAAATCCAACCTAAATGAGAAAAAGATTTGAACAGGAGGCATTTCTCCTAGTCTCAGGTTACTTAACTTGTACATTTAAGTAACATTTAAAATAGCTATTAGTAGCCAGGTGCAGTGGTGCATGCCTATAGTCCCAGCTATTCAGGAGGCTGTGAGGCAGGAGGATCGCTTGAATCCAGGAGTTCGAAACCAGTCTAGTCAACATAGTGAGATGCCCCCCCATCTCGAAAATAAAGTAACTATTAGTAAAACATTTTCTCATTCATCAAAACTTTGCTTAGTGCCTACTATTGAATGAAATAATAGTTAAATACATGAATTCTGCAGGTCAATAGACTGCTTCAAACACCAGCTCACCCCCTTACTAGACTCTGTGATGTTTGGAAAAGTCATTTAATCGTATCATTTCCTTTACCTGTAAAACTGAAGCAACGTCTACTTTCCAGGGTTGCTGTTAAGGTTTAAGTGAGGGCCGGGTGTGGTGGCTCACGCCTATAATCTCAGCATTTTGGGAGGCCGAGGTGGGTGGATCACTTCAGGAGTCTGAGACCAGCCTGGACAACATGGTGAAACCCCGTCTCTACTAAAAATACAAAAATTGGCTGGGTGTGGTGGCGCACGCCTGTAGTCCCAGCTACTTGGGAGGCTGAGGCAGGAGAATCGCTTGAACCTGAGGGGTGGAGGTTGCAGTAAGCCGAGATCACATCACTGCAGTCCAGCCTGGTGACAGCGAGACTCCGTCTCAAAAAAAAAAAAAAGGATTAAGTGAGATGCTGCAGGTAACACTGTTAGGGTAATGTCTAGTACACAGTAAGGCACTCAAGCAATGACAGCAAATATCATCACTGTGTTGGATGGCGTCATATGTGCTCTGCATGGGGTCGGTGGGAGGGGTATAAAGACATGAAGTTTCCATTCTAGTTAGGAAGACAGACATTCATAACAATTTTTAAATTGTTTACATTTTTATCATTAATAAAAAGCAAGAGAACATAACAAAAATCCATTCTTAAGGTTACCTTTATCTTTAGCATCAGGAAATGTTACGTTATCACTAGTATTGTAGGAAAATGAGATGCTGTCAATTGAATAAGTAGATGCCGCCTTGGTAAAATTCGCAATCCAGGAAAAGCCAGATCTAAACTGCACAGCTATTCTGGGACCACTCTGATCGTCTCCACAAATGCTTCCATTATATGTCACAGTACCAAGGTCTGAAATGGTTTGGGTTTTCTAAAAGAAATAGAAGTTTGGGGGTGAGAAACAAACAGGCAGCAAGCAGCACCAAGCATTTATGCAGGGAATGCCACTTCAGCCTAAATTGTACAGTCTCCATGGCCAGGTTGCCCTTTGCCTGGTTTGCTGTGTAAACCAGTCCCTGATTCTTCAGGTACATACCACTCCTCTGGACAAATCCATGTATGTCTACAAAGAAAAGGAAAGCTGGCTTGAACTGCTGTTCTTAAACTGATTTTTAAAAAAATTAGGTTGTAAGTATTCAGGACCTTAACAAAAAGAAAATAAGAAGGCAAAGGGATTAAGAAGAGACGCCAGCCAGGCATAATAGCTCACGTCTATAATCCCAGCACTTTGGGAGGCCAAGGCGAGCAGATCATGAGGTCAAGAGTTTGCGACCAGCTTGGCCAGCATGGTGAAACCCCGTCTCTACTAAAAATACACAAAATTAGCTGGGCATGGTGGTGCGCGTCTGTAATCCCAGCTACTCGGGAGGCTGGGGCAGGAGAATTGCTTGTACCCGGGAGACAGAGGTTGCAGTGAGCCGAGATCATGCCACTGCACTCCACTCTGGGCGACAGAGTGAGCCTCCATCTCAAAAAAAAAAGAAGAGATTCCAAAAAGGGGGAGATTTTAGTATTAGGTTGATGCAAAAGTAATTGTGGTTTGTGCCAAAAAAAAATCGCTTACTTAGGTTGGTACAAAAGTAATTGTACTTTATTTCTTTAATGGCACAAACCACGATTACTTTTGCACCAACCTAAGTAAGCAATTTTCTTTTTTCTTTTTTGGAGCTAGAGTCTTGCTCTGTTGCCCAGGCTGGAGTGCAGTAGCATAATCATGGCTCACTACAGACATGGCTTCCTGGGCTCAAGCAATCTTCCCGCCTCAGCCTGATGTGTGGCTAGAACTACATGTGTGTGCCATCATGCCTGGCAAATTTTAAAATTTTTCTGTAGAGATGAGGTCTTACTATGTTGCCCAGGCTGGGCTCATGCAGTCCTCCTGCTTTGGCCTTCCAAAGTGCTGGGATCACAGGCATAAGCCACCACGCCCAGAGGGGAAGCTATTTTATAAAAGGGCAAGCTTTGGTGCTAGTACATTTTAAACACTTTACAGAAATAGTAGACCTGAACACCATATAGTCTTCAGATTATTTGCCCTTAACCAACTCCTACAAAAACTCCCAAGAACCAATGAATCAGAAGAAATATTCATTCTAACACTAAACAGAATAACTTCTAAGGGTGTATGCTAAAAAAATCCCAGAGTTTAAGCGTTAAGTCAGTCAACATGGAATTTCATTTTTATACATGTGTCTAAAGGATAAAAAAGTCAATTTAAATTCCTACATAAAACTCAAAGAAAAATTAAAATATTTACTTACATAAGTTTTGTTTGTAGTTTCATAGTGTACTCTGAAAGTCATCTGCCATTTTGCATAAAGGCAAGTGGCTTTTCCTGAATCTTGCAGAGTAAGTTCCAATGCATAAGACCGCAAGGCTCCTGGATTTATTTTTAAAAAATAAGATTTTAAAATTGTACTACAAAAGAACATATAAAATAAAAACAAGCTCTATCCACCACTGAAGTTCAACCAGCTCTAAAATGAAACAAAAGCATTTTATATCTATACATATATACGTGTGTGTGTGTGTGTGTGTGTATAGTATCCTGATGATCATTTTTCTTTTTATTTTTAACAGAATCCTGTTGATAAAGTTGGCATTATCCCTTACCAAAAGAATGGTTACTAGACCTAGGATGCTTAGGTAATGGCTCACACTGGTGACATTTAATTGCTTTCTGCCTTCAAATAATCATTTCCACATGCATTAACACCTTACTAGTTTTGTTTTAGACAATTACAGTTTGCCTGTTAGGACTTGTGATTTTTGAGGTAAATGAGGTAAGAGGAAGACTGGTAGGGGTATAAAACTTCTTTCAAACCAGTTGGTGAAACATTCTCTGCAAAAATAATGATAG